AGGGAGGGCCGCGCCGGGCCGCGGGCGGGGGCCCGGGGGCGCGGGGGAGGGCGGCCTTCGCGGGGATCCCCGTAGCCGGGCTGCCGGGGGGGCCCCGTGGGCCCTGTGAGGTGCCTGGGAAAGGCGCCGAGTGTGTCTTCGCGTTGTGCCGCTCCTGCGCGGGGCTGGGGCTGGAGAGTGTCGCGTTCAACCCTCATACGTGTGAGTGGAAACCATGCCGTCACTGCTAGTCACTTTTTACAGGCAGGCGTTGCGGTGGTTGGCATCTTACGTGTAAACTTGATTTCTCATGTGCCTGCATGTTTTTAGTGAGGACCGAAACCCTTAGCCGTTAAATTAACAAACAAAGCTGTCAGGGGACTTTAATCTCTACAGCAAATCAAATGTGAAACTTCTTTTACATCTTAAACAACTGATTTTTGTCCGTAATTTAGGAGGTAACAGAGAATGTCTTTTCGTGGAAGAGGAGGTGGAGGAGGAAGAGGAGGTGGCTTCAACCGTGGAGGAGGTGGCGGTGACAGAGGTGGCTTTAACCGTGGTGGACGAGGTGGCTTTGGACGGGGAGGTGGACGAGGAGGCTTCAACAGAGGCGGATATGACCAGGGGCCTCCAGAACGGGTAGTTTGTAAGTTACACGAAGAGATTATATTTATTTAATTTAGAATGACTGCTCCAGATCTTTAGCTTGTTTGTTCTTTATTTCAGTATTGGGAGAGTTCATGCATCCGTGTGAAGATGACATTGTCTGTAAATGTAAAACAGAAGAAAACAAGGTGCCTTATTTTAACGCCCCAGTGTATTTGGATAATAAGGAACAGATTGGCAAAGTGGATGAAATCTTCGGACAGCTGAGAGATTTTGTATCCTTCAAAAGAATGTGTGACGTACAATATCTGGTTTTTAAAGGTTGATTGATTATTAAGTGGAATTTCTCTAGGATTTTGAAATAGTTCAAGGCTTGGCTACCAGTTAGATGTGAAGAGTCACAAGTCTAGCTGCAACTGTTGGTGTCAGGAGGTCCCTCGTTCACATTAAGCACCTATCTTAAAGCTTTTTTAAATATGACAGAGTACCTTACATCAGACGGAGGTTTTCAGTCAGTACCAGTACCAGCAGGTGTCTTTTGGATCCATGGTTTTGTGAGATGTTACTTTTCTAGCTACCTGACCAAATTTTCTGGTATAGGCTACTCACCTATAACAGAGTTGGATCAAGAGTGTGAGGGTTTCTTTGTGCATTAGGGGACCTTGCCCATGCTCCAGCTTATTACTTAATTATAAGGATGAGTTTGTGCTAGAATGTCCTGTTGCTCATTGTCCAGCTTATTAAGCTGCTGATAAAAGCGGCTTGTGCTAGGATGTCCTTTTGCAAAGCAAGTTTGTGGAGACAGAGGCGCTGGGTCCATTCTGTTGTCACTGCCAGATTGACGGAATCCGTGACAAAAGCGAGACAACTCAGGGAGTAACCCCGTAACATGGCAGTAAGACTTACCCTGTGTTGCTTGGTTGAGCATCAGTAACTAGCTGCATGCATTTTCCTCTCCCACATTAAATGTGAAGTAAAATGTACAGGTTTAAATCACTGTCACACTCTGAATATATTAACTTGCAGATTTACTTTTTGTATCAGAATTATTTGAATTTCAGAACCTTGTTTTCTTCCTACAATAACATATTAAGAAAATATATTGCTGGATTTTGCAGGTCCTTGCTTCCCCATTTAATCTTGAGTTTTAATTAAGCAGAGCTGGCCAGCAGCTCTTTTTGATCTTAGGAACAGCATACCAAAGTCCTTGCATACTGGAGAGCCAAAGGATTCGTACAAGACTGCACATGGGGTTACAGAGAGTGTCTGCCCCTTCACTGGAGGATGAGGCTGGGCGTGCGGTTGGTTGGTCCAGCAGTCCCTGCTGGCTCTTACCTTTCCACAGCCAGGCGGTTGTACCACCCAGCAGCAGCAGCACTAGCAGAGCCCCTGCAGCCTGTAAATTGTTCCAGATAAGCCTTGAGGTCACCCTGGGGCTAAAGGGGTCTGCACTTGCTGTATGAATTTGTTTCTTTACAATTATGTTTTTATGTACTCTTTCCACTGGTACATTCTTCTTTATGCCTTGATACATGGAAGGAAAAAATTATTTTACCACAGAATACCATATTTGTAACTATGGAAAAAAACTGGAAATAGTTTCTCCTGATCTTCTAGTTGCCATTTTTCATATGTGATGATGATGTTTAGCTTCATTTATAAAATACTAATTTAGAAAATGTCTGAATGTGCCTTTTATATAATAATAAAAACCACAATTTCTAATGTTTTATTCTTGCTATGTTCCTTAAAGAAACTAACAGTATTTTTCAGTGAAACTGTCTGAGAACATGAAAGCCTCTTCATTTAAAAAAATGCAAAAGGTTAGCCAATCTCAATAACAGAATTCTACTGTATGTCATCAGTTAGATAAATCTACTCTATGTCATCAGATAATAAAAGCTGTATTTTTATTAACTTTAAAATCTAGTTGTCCTTTGTAAACATGTGTTCCTTTCCTCTTCCTTTTCGCTTTTGTATCTGCCACTTTCTTCTTTCACCCCGCCCCACAAAAAAAGATGTAAGAAATGAACCTCATGCAAATACCAGCTATATTGTAATAACTTCATAACACTGTGATTTATTTCTTGCATGCTTTCTTTATGTGGCTATTTGCAGAGGACAATTTGACTTAAAGGGTTAAGACCAAATTGTGGATATTTGTAAAGGGAGATAGTAATGTGCTCTTTAGCCGTGGTATTTTCAAAGCCTAATGGAACTCTCTCCCTACAGTTTTACATTGATCCGGCAAAGCTGCTGCCCCTTCAGAGATTTTTGCCAAGGCCACCTGGAGAAAAAGGTGCTCCCAGAGGAGGTGGTAGAGGAGGACGTGGAGGAGGAAGAGGCGGCGGTAGAGGTAAGATCCCAAGAATGTAAGCTGCAGAATGTTGGGTTTTTTTGGTTTGTGTTTTTTTGTTGTTTTTTTTTTTTGTGTGTGTGTAAGGCGGCCTTTGGGTACTTGAATATCGACAGTTGTATTGCAAAGAAAAATGTTACGCATATTGCTGTTTGATGACTCAATGGAAGAGGCAGTGATGCCTTTCCAATGGCAAGAGCTAGGCTTCTGTGGCTAGCTAAATAACAGCTCCAAAGCACAGGGAGGAGAGTATGCTGATTTATGACAAAGACAGAAAGTGTGACTACTAAGCAAACTTGTGGTAAAAGGTTGTAGATAATACACGCTCAAAACGGTCAGTGAAAGCTGAATTTTTAGTATATTCTGAAAATCTAGTTGGACAAAATACTTGAAATGCCGTGTTTGAGAGAGGGGTGAATGACCTGGTAGATCTCATCCTTGCTTGCTTTTTGAACATCATCTGTGATGCACTCCTCAATTAAACCTCAAGTTAATTTTTTCTTACATTGCAGTTCCTTGCTTCTTCTCCCTACCCTGCCCCTTTGCAGCGAGGCACAAGTGTTTCAAAGGGTTTTGTTTTGTTTGTTTTAATGCTCTGTTGAGTTGTAATTAATTAATAATTAATTAATAATTAATAGTTGTAATTAATTTTTTGCTCTCATGAAAGAAGTTTATCATGGACTTCTGTTAGTGTCTTTAGTATTTTGGACATTGTATATCAGATATTAAACAATACCTAAAATGCTGCAGATGGTCCCTAGAAGG